GCGCAGTTCAGTTACAAAAAAAATGAATGATATTATTTTACATCATAAAGAGCATGACTTTCCTGCGTGATACCCAACGTGTGACTAATCACATCCAGTCGAAATATTATCCCGCCTTCATGCAGATCCACCCTGGCTATGAAATTTGTTAGAATCGATCTTAGCCGAGCGGCAGAGGGATGCTCGGAAACGGGGAACGACTTGACCTTGGCTGGATTCACGCGTAGCTGAACTAACGCAAAATCGAAACGCGTTACTTCCACGGCGTGGATCTCCTAAAGCTGAGTTCACATCCTGACATTGCACTATCTCACACTCGTAAAAACCTTTTTACTCGATATAAAATGCACTCGAAAACAAACGAGCTCAAACAAACTGAAATTCTTCATCTTCGTTAAAACGTTTTCGGTAAAATAAGTTACATTCTAGTTAATACTTAAACGTTACATACTTGACATGATATGTAAAAGTTCATTATAACATTCATTCATGACATTTGTACATGGAAACGATAACTATAGTATGGCATATACTGTGAAACTAACTGTATTTATAGTGAAATATGTACATAGCGGCCATATTTATTGTGACATACATAATTGAAACAGTCATATTTATCAGGAAATATATACATAGTGCCGGCTATATATACTATAATATATATAGTGTAATAGTTATATTCGTCGAGACATAGAGTGGTGGCAGCCATATTTATTGTAACATACATATGTACATAATCGAAATAATCACACTTATCAGAAGATATGTATGTAATAATGGCACATTTATTGTGATATACATACTCAAAATGTACGTGTTTATCATGGTATACAGAGTAAATAACAAACATGTACTCCGTGACATACATAGGGATGGTAGCCCCGTATGTTATGATATATGTGCTTAGTGAAGGCAGTCATATTTATTATAATTCTATGGTATATAGTAAAAGTAGCCATATTTGTAAAAACACAGACTGTAAATGTACTTATATTTATTAACACGTTCACGCCGGCGTGACCCACCGGTGGGTCACGTTTGACCGTTCCGTGGGGCGGCGTGATCCACCGGTGGGTCACACTTAATTGGGGCGTGCATCACAGGTAGGTTTTCAAAAAATAAGTTTATTTTATTTTTTGTCAAGATTATAAACAAAAATTGAGTATTATAAGCATTAACATTCAATATTTTAAATTGATAACAATTATTTATTTATAAGCATGCAACTTTTTAAAACATTCTAAACATAATGCGGGCTGGCCCTTACAACTTTCACAATATGTTCTTACTTTTTTACTTTTTTTCGCGGCGTATATTTTACCTTGTCTTTTCGATAATTGTTTGTAACATTCTTTACATCGTTTTCTTGTTTTTCTGGCAGCTCCTTTGAATGATTGTAGAAAATGTGTGTGTTTTCTTGACCGTTTTTTCTTTTCTATTTCACATTCTTTGATTTCTCTGTGAAAAATTCAAAAAGGAAAAGTGCTAAGCCCCTGTAGAAGGAAAGATTATTTTATCTACCTTTACACTTGATGCAAGAAATGTGCGTTCTGAAAATCAATGTCAAAACTGTTTTGATTTCGTATTTAGCGCGTTCGAAGCTTCGAAGGAGCAACAATGTCGCGCCGCCCCACGAAGCGAAACGTAAATATTCGCCCCGGCGAGGACGTGTTAAAGCACACGTTGTAATAATAGTCATATTTATTAGATGTACGCAGTAAAATTACCTGTATTTTATGTGTACAGCATAATGTACATATATACCAAAAATAGTCATATTTATCAAAACAATACAAATTATAAATTATTTCAGTGGTATTTGATGATGTCTATGATCAGGCAACAAGCTAAGCAAATCAGAGAGATTCTTGAAACACTGAACAAGGACCTATCATACGTTGAATTGAAGGACTTGAAGATTTTATCTGTAGATTGTTTAGATTGTTATCTGTAAATTTTGTAAGAAGAAGAATACCCGGAAAAGTCATTTGAAAATCTGGAACACCGGAAGAGTTGTCATTTTGAAGATTTTGAACTCTTAAAAGAAGAATGTACAAGCCGTTACTTGAAGACCTTGAACATCTGGAGAAATAGTCATTTAAAGACCTTGAACACCTGAAGAAGTCATCATTCGAAGACCTTGAGCACCCGAAGAAATCATCATTTGAAGACCTTGAACACTCGTAGAAGTTGTTATTCGAAGACCTTGAATACCTAAAGAAGTCACCTTTTGAAAATTTTGAATATTTGCAAAAATTTATTCGGGAATTTTGAAAACCTGAAGAAGTCATTTGAAGACTTTGAGAATTGAAGAAATTATTCTTTTGAGGCATTAAACGTGTAGTAAAATTATGTGAAGACTTTGAACACTCGAAGGAAATGTCACTACAAGACCTTGAACAAAGGAATTATTTGAACGTGTTGAACACCCGAAGAAGCTGCATTTGGAGACATTGAACATCGGAAACCGTTATTCAAATTACATCATACTATGAAGAAGAAACTCTAGTAGATATTATTATTTGAAGATTTCAAACTTCTTGAAGAAGAGCACCTAATTGTCATTTGAAGACCCTGAACATCTCAAAGAAGAACGTTCGAAGAAATTGTCATTTGAGTACTTGAAACCTTTAAAAAGAACACCTGAATAAGTTGTAATTTGAAGATGACAGCTTGAAGAGACGGTAATTTAGAGTGGAAAATTGCATATCGTTGACGGGATGTTTCGTGTGAAACAAGCTTGTTTCTTAGGTAGGGAATGAGATGACCTAAACGCTCGCGCCACTGACAGGGGTTGATGCAGTTATTCCTTTTCCGTCCCCCTCGCGGGGGAGGCTGTTGGAGCCCGTGACGGAAGAAAAGAGGGTGACTCACCCCCTGTGTTCCGTACTTTCGAGTGCATAGCACCCACGACTGATCCACGCGTGACTAGATACTGTTTCGCACAAAGGGGGCCACTGGAAATTATATTTTAATATCTCTTCAAGGTTTTTGGAGCCGTTACGAAGGGACGAAGAGTTTTAGACTTAGTCTTGAGACTGATTTCTTTTCTAACTGCTGTTTTTTTAACATGGATTCGTCTCTTCCAAGAAAAGTGTACTTTGAAATAAATAAAATACAAGACACTATCTTTTTACTGCCTTCTTTATTAATTATTAACATTTTGTTTTTCTACAGACGACTTTCTGGAGTTTTTCCAGTATTCCTTTTCAATCTTTTAGTGTTCGAATGTCGTAGTTTTTCAGTTTTCTATTTTTCTATTTTTCAATTTTTTTAGTAAACCAGCCCTGTTAGTAGATAATATTACTGACGACAAACTACTGACAGAATGGTGACAAATTAGTAACAATCTGAGGATAAACTAGTGACAAATTGATGACAAGTACATCTTCGTTGCTAGTTTTTTTTTTAAATCGGACACCTTACGTCATAAATGAAAAACATTAAAAAACATCTAGTCATTTTAGTAAATTGGTGTTTCATAAACTTATATAAGTAGTATTAAAGGTGTGACTATCGATTATCGATATCTTATCGATGCATTATTGATGTTTAACGATATATCGATAATATTGTTAAGATATCGGTAATGCGAATAGAGAAAGGGGTCATTGAACTTGGCTGAAGCAGAACAGAACACATATTAAATTTACATTAGATGTAGATTGTATGACACACATGTATATACGTAATGTTCCTCGTGTTAAATTGATATTGTTCTCGTTTTTTACTGATTATTATATTTGATATTTTGTACATTTTCAAATTTTTAAATACATTTTAAATACTGTAAACTTTCCAATTTTTAATATTCAAATATCCCTATGTTCATACTCAACTTTCTGTGTTCTCAAGTACACATATTTCCAAAATTCAAAATTTTTTAATTTTTAAATTCTGAAATCCTCATATTTGCAAATTTGTGAATTTGCAAATTCATACATCTCCAAATTTTTAAATGTCCACAACTTAAAGTTCTCTAATTTAAAAATCTCCAAACTTTCCAAAAAGCTTCTCAAAGATGAAATTCTCAAAATTTGAGAATTTATGGATTTCTAATTTTTAACTGAATATTATTTTCCCAAATTTTCAAATTTGCAAGTTATCAGATTAAAAAATCTCAAAATTTTCATATTTTTATGTTGTCAAATCCTCAAATCCTTAAATGCCCATATCTTTAAATCCTTAAATATTTAATCTTCCATATTTTCAGATGTTAAACACAAATCTCAAAATCCAAATTTCCCGAGTTCCAAATCCTCAAATTCACGACCGTCTATCCTTCCACATCGAAAAGTTCAACTCTTCAGATCTCAAAATCTAAATTTCTACAGCTCCATATTCTTAAATATTGAAATGAGTGAACGTCTAACCTCGAAAATATTCACCTCCTGAAATCTCAAAACTCCTAAAGCCACTCAGTGCGTATGTAAACGAAAATCCCGTGTTTGAATTTGAAAGGCAGTCACCGACCGGCGAAGCAGTCGGTCTCCATCTGGCGCGAACTTATCTCACGGTGCGGTTCTTCCCCGTTTGTTGCGCGGGCATTCTCTGTGCGCCTGCGCGAACACGCGCCCTCCGATGAGCCTTCCGCACGGTTGAGCATTTCCACCATTCAGAATCGATGATGTCACGAAGCGGAGCCAGCATCCCCCACTGTCCTGGTCGTGGAAGTGTGGTGGTGGCAACGTTACCCTCGCCCATTGGTCCGGCTCACTCGGGGTACCAACACGAATCGCAGGGTCGCCAGCACACGACCCAACGAGAGTCCGCAAGTCGTTGCGTGCCAGTCCGTGCGTGTGCTTTACCTAATAATATTTCCACGGCCAGCGGTGCCCGCTGTTGCCCACTTCTCTTGTCTGCTCCCCCTCTTTCTCTCTCTTTCTCTCTCTCTCTCTCTTTGTCTCTCTTTCGCTCTCTGTCTCCGTTTCTCGTTCGCCGTTTGCCCCCTGTCTGCACGGGCTCTCTCTGTGGAGAGAGAGAGCCACGGCGAGCAGAAGAATCACGCTGCAGAGCAGCACGTGTGCTGCGCTCGTGCGGATCGTGCGGAGCCACCCCCATGGTGCGTTTACCTGCGTGCTCGCGATACGTTCTTCAATAATTTAGCGACGATCGAACCGATCGAAGATACGTGTACAGTGAATGGGACACGTTTTTATTTGCGTACAGGAATGTTTACGTTGCCGATTGTTTGTTAAGTTTATTACCAGCTTTCCCGACCGATCGACACGTGACTAAGTTTGAGAGTGCCCGAGAGTGACTGCAGCAACACGCTGGTGCGTTTGCTCGTGAAAATTGTGAAGAACGATTGTGATCTGCGGTGCTGCCAGCACCGGAAGCCGATCCGGGAAACGGCTGCCGACGGCTGCTTTTGGTATGTAGTCACGTGCTTCGTACGGTGTTGTTTCTCCGATGCCAAACTATCGTAATATTACTAAATTACTAGTATTACTTACTAACTCGGTCTAGTTAAGGATCTAATGAAGCCAGAATTTAGAGAACGTTTATTAAGTACAGAATTTGGAGAACGTTCGATAAGTTCAGAATTTGGAGTACGTTCAATAAGTACAAAATTTGGAGAACGTTGAATAAGTTCAGAATTTGGAGAACATTCAATAAGTACAAAATTTGGAGAACGTTTAATAAGTGCATTTGGAGAAGTTTATTTTTGAAGAATGATCGTTTTCAAGGGAGGTATTAGTCAGGTTTGGTAATTAGAGGTTTTAGGAGTTTGGAAGAAGGATAAGGAGGATACTCGAATGTGGGTTGCAGAAGATTTGATGCGTGGGATATTCTATGTTAGGGATTTTGTTGTGTGGTACCGAGTATTTGTAAACTTTTAGATTTCCAATTTTCAAATTTCGAAATTGTAAATAAATTTGGAAATTTGAGAATTTGTTTGTCAGATGTCCAAATTGTGACGTTTCTAGAGTCGTAGATTCGAAAATGTAATGTGTTTATATTTCAAATTTCGTACTTTTGAATTTCTACATTTCAATATTTTAAACTATTAAATCTTCAAATTTTTTATTTATCCAATTTCTAATTTCGTAGACTGTAAAATTGAATCCTTCAATTACCAAATTTCCAAATCCAAAAATCACAAATTCCCAAATTCTTCAACTTCCGAAATTCCAAGTTTACAAATTTCCGAAATTCCCAAATTCTAAATTTTCAAAATCCGAAGCTAGCAAATTTCTATTTTCAAGACCAATGAATTTTTCAAAATCTACAAGTTTCCCAACTTGTGAAGCCCCAAATTTGCTAAGTAAAAAACTTACAGATTTTTCAACTTCCAAAATTTTAGTTTCAAATTCCGAAATTTTTAAAACCCCAAACTTGCAAATTACCAAACTTTCAAAACCCCTAATTTTTATTTCTCTAATTTTCGAAACCCAAAATCGAAAGTTCCAAATAAAAAAATTATTCAATCCGGAGCAATAAATTTCCCACTGCTTATACAATTTTAATTCTTCATCATTTCGAACGATATAAAAATTTATCAGTAATGATTACATAGGTATTTGATCCTGAAAAATAATTATGTTGTCCACCACTTTTACTTTCTTTATTCTCTTGTGTACATAATAAACGTTTATAGCAGCGTACTTAAATTATTGACAGTTGAAAATTAAAATTTCGCGAGAAAACATTAATTAATTTTCAAGAAATGAAAGCGGCGGTGGTCGAAGAAGAAATGTTCGATCCCCTCCGGCGGTGACTTCTCGTTTAATACTCAATTTCATTTTTAATTGAGCTTCTTTCAAAACGAAAATATTTTGTTATTTTATTATAAATATTATTTTTATTTTGTTATTAGATGTAACAAAATTTACATTTTAGATTCGTAAGAGTTTTAAAATACATATTTTTATGAATGTTACGAAAACGAAACTACAGATCGGTACTGTGTATTATATGAAACGGTTAATTGTTAATAAAAAAAATGGCACGAGTACCTGTATTGATTAATGTGACATGTACTTATGTGTCGTCAAGTGAAAAATTATAATCTATCGGAAAACGTGAATCAGTCACCAAGGAACGAAAGCGACGGTCGTTGAGAAACAACCCCTTCCGGCGGTGCCTTGTCACCCAATAGTGATTATCATTTTCAAACCAATTTTTTCAATAAAAAACTATTTATGCATTATTATTGTCTTATTAGATTTACTTGTGAGAGTTTTAAAAAGTATATTTTTGTTAGTATTGAAAAAATCGTGTAACACGGGGTTAGTTTTTCTCAACATATGTCATATGTTAATTTAGGTAATCACATATTTCTTGTTAATTTAAAAAATACATTTTTATACTCACTAAAGTGTTCCACTGTGAAAATCTAAAATGTACTCAAAAGCATATGTCAGTTTCCGAGAAACGAAAGCGACGGTATACGTCAAAGGAACAACCCCTTCCGGCGGTGTCTTTCCGTTTAATAATTAGTATTATTTTCAATCAAATTCCTTTAACAAAAACTTATTCTTTTATTAGTATTATTTGTGAGAATTTGGAAGAGCAATTTTATCTCAAAATAACAGAAACTATGTGAAATGCGAACAACCAGTGGTTTATTATATGCATACGTGATTACTTGTTACTCAAAAGAGTACAGATTTGCCTTTATGAATTAGTAACATTTTTAAATAATTTGTTTAATGTTAGAGAAATCTGCATGTGATAATCAGTGACTCACAGTGCGTCATGACTATCAACTGATTAAGATACATGTACTCAATCAGGAACATATTTAAATACTTTTTATTTTTCATCAAAAATACTCATTGCGATACTAGTATTAGTTGTAAAAACTTAACAATGCATTTTTTACAATATTGAAAAAATTCTGCATTTCTGGATTAATTACTATGTGACTCGCAAAGTGCGTCATCCATTATTAATCTGAAGAGTATAGCCATTAGATTTTATCATGAGGATCCAAATTTTATTTGAAAATAACTAAGTTTCGGAGAAAGCGGCGGTGTAAAAAAGGGAAACAACCCCTTGCATTGATGTCCTAATATTCAATACTATTGTTAAATAAATTTTTTAATAAAAAACGTATACCGCTATTTTCCTATTAGTATCATTTATCAGAATTAAAAAATTTTTATTTTAAAATGAAAGGTCATACTCACATAAAAATATATTCTAATATTGTGAAATGTTAATCAGTACATGACGCACAAGGTGCGTCACCCATAATTAATCCAACTAGTACCTGTCATCAGTGTATCTAACGAGAACTTAAATTTTATCCGCGACCATAATTCAGTTTCTAAGAAACGAAAGCGGCGGTATAGAGAAAAGGAACAACCTCTTCCGGCGGTGTCTTGCCGCTTAATAGTCAGTATCAGGGTTGTACACGGTGTGCGAGGACGCAGATTGCATACGCGTAGCGTATAATGCAGCTTAAGGCACAATACGCTTTCTATACGGCCGCTATATCAGAGATGAATGTGATTGAACGGTACGTTGAGCTTCACTGTCTCTCTGTTTCGCTGTTTTCCCGTTTGCACGCGACGATGCACCCTCACCACACACGCACACGCACACGTACACTCTCTTTCGTCATTGCCGGTGTATAGTATTATGGTGTAATTAGGCAATAGACTACATGACTTGCCGTGTAAAATCCGTGAAGCGAACGAAGCCTGGTTGAATGGCCGACAGTACAAGTGTTGGACACCCCGCGGTGACATTCGACGGGCACATTGTGAACGCGCCTTGCCTCGGCTCGAGAGGGTTCGTTGTTCAACGGGACTTTTCTAGAGTAGTTTTTGGTTTCGACGCTTAAAAATTGTTTTGTGCTATCGCGTACGTGCGTTTGTATATTGATTACGTAGTGTGCGGCTCGATCGATTATGCTCTTTCGATGGACCCTCAAGGGGATCCACTTTTTCGGACATAAAACGTTTGCAAATATCTTTGAAATTGGATATTATTGGTTGTAAATTTTTTGCGGATGGTTTTCTCATTTGTGATATAGTGATGTCTGCTATTTTAGACTGCGATGTCTGCAATTTTATAGATATCGTATTGTAGATTGCAACCTAAATTTTAGAAGGTGGATTTAAGTATATGGGAAGTTGGGAATTTGGAAATTTGGAAATTTCAGAGTTTAGGAATTTGGGATCTGAAAATTTCGAAATTTGGGTATTTGGGGATTGAGAAGTTTCAGTATTTGTGTATGAGTGTTCTTTGAAATTTGCGAAACTTAGGACTACGAAAATTGATAAATTTAGAAATTTAGCGGATTAGAAATTTTGTGTTTGAAAATTTCAGAATTTGAGTATTGGGATTTTCTAAATTTGAGAAATTTTCGAATGTAAAGTGTGGAAATTCTAACATTTTAGAATTGAAAAATTTGTGAATGTGGGGGTTGAAAATTTAGAATTGTGCGAATTCAAATATTTAGAAATTTGCAAACTAAAAATATGAAAATTTGGCAACTACGGAATTTGTAAGTTTGATCTTGGAAAATTTAGAAATTTAGGTATTTTGCGGTTGGAAAATTTGTAAATTTGTGAAATTTAAGAATATGAAGTGAAAAAATTTAAACATTTAGAAATTTTGAAAATTGGAAATTTAGAGGTTTGGAAACTTAAGCAATTTTGAAGCTTGAAGTACGGATATTTAAAAATTTAAGAATGTGGAAATTTAGAAATCAGCAGTTCAAAATTTAGAAATCTGCAGGAATTTGAAGTTTGAAAGCTTGAAATTCTGGGAATTTGAAAATTTAGGAACTTTGATGTTGGAAATTGGAAAATTTCGAAACATGGGAACTTGAGAACTTAGGAATTTAGGGATTTAGGAATTTGGCGTTTGACTATTTTGAAATTTGAGTCTTGAAGGATTTTGAAATTTAGGGTATAGAAATTGAAAAATTTGGAAAAGTAGATGAAGAAATAGAAGTTTGAAAACTTGGAAATTTGAATACTTCAGAATTGAGGAATTTAGGAATTTGAGATTAAAAGATTTTGAAATTAGAACAATTTACAAATTTAAACAATTGTAAATCGTAAGTTCCCAAATTTAACAGTTGAAAATTTAGAAATCTACGATTTTAAAAATTTCAAAATTTGGTTGTTAAAAATTTGTAAACTTTGAAAAAGTTTGTATAAATTCCGAAATTTATAAATTTAAAAATTTTGAATTAAGCAATTTTGTCAATTTAGAAATCTGAAAATCTAACTATATATCCAAAGATTTAAAAATTTGAAAATGTGTTTATAAATTTGATTTCTTTGAAATATATAAAGTTCAGTAAACATTCGTAAAGACAAATATTTTTAAACCCTAAAATATTCTTAAGAACTTATAAATCTGTATGCTTAGTGTAATCTGCAATATATCGTGTGTAGTAAATATAGCGTA